TTGAATAGTTTTTTTAAAATTCCATGAATATAATATTTTTATTTTATTGCACTTGTGTTTAAAAAAATAATGTCATTTTTAGTATTTTATAATATTTGAAATGTTACATGCAAGTTGTGTGTCAAGTTTTATTTTATTTATGTAACAGATTTTTCACATAAGGGTAAGTGATAGTTTAAGGTAAAGTGTACTTTATCCTATAGCTTAAATCATATTTTTCTTTGTAAAGGTTCAAATTGTAAAGAAAAAAATTATATAAAGGTTTAAATTGAAAATATATATACATATATGAGGTAGTTAAGTGTTGTAATTTTCAGTTGGGAAAGATAAAATAATATGAGACAATAAGTAAGAGAAGAAGTAAAATAGGTGGTGAAGTGTTACTCATATTTCTTTCTATTTGGTGAACTTTCTTAATTCAACAATGCTAAACCAATCAATACCAACAGAAAAAAAGTATGGGTCTATATTTATTTTGAGTGTAGAAATTACAATATTAAAAATTGCGGATCATTGCATAAAACCTCATATTAAAAATATATATATAAAAAATATTCACAGTTTTATGAAGTCATTAATAATGTACTCAAATTTATTTCTATAGACTGTTTTGTGAAATAAATATTTTAATTGCTTTTTTAATTCTTATAAAAAAATATATAAAACAATAGAGAGTCATCAAAAATAAAACATAAAAGTATAAGAGGTTTTTTTTAATGAATTTTTTACTTTTTGATTATTTTAGATGGTCCACAAAGAAGTCAGACTTTATGTAAATCAGAGATTAACCTTCCAAACAAAAAATTAATATTTTTCAATAACTAAAAAAACTAGGGGAATTATTAATAAGTGATTATCAGAAAATATTTATAAAAAGTAGTAAACATTTTAAATATTAATAATTAAAATTAGGGTAAATTATAAATACATTTTGATTATTTTAGATGGTCCACAAAGAAGTCATACTTTATGTAAATCAAAGATTAACCTTCCAAACAAAAAATTAATATTTTTCAATAACTAAAAAAACTAGGGGAATTATTAATAAGTGATTATCAGAAAATATTTATAAAAAGTAGTAAACATTTTAAATATTAATAATTAAAATTAGGGTAAATTATAAATACACCCTCTGAGGTTTGCTTAAAATACGAATTGCCCCATGTGGTTTGAAAAATTACAAATACCTCTCTACCAGAATTTTTTATTTAACATAATTAATTGAAAAAGTGAAATTTCTAATTGTTCACCTATATAATAATAAAATTATCTGAATTATTAATTGAAATAAATTTGTAACATTATTAAAAATTGTTAATTAATTTGATGATTTATTAATAAAATGACTTATTTGTTATGAAATTATAAAGGAAAATTTAATTTATTAAAAAATCCATTTTCAAGTGTTTGTATCCCAATTAGTCCCTAAGATATTCTTATATTCTAATAAGTCTTATTATTTGGACATTTAATCTATCAAACCCTAATTCTCGTATTTAAAGTATTTTATAGACATTTCTACCCTTACAAATATTTTTTGAACGGTTTGCAATTTGGTAATGTGAATGTTCACATTGATATGTTAACATTCACATCGATAGCGTGAATATTTGTATTGACGATGTGAATATTCATATTGATGGTATGAACATTCACATCACGAAACATTCACAATGTAAATATGAATATTATTATGGGTATTTTGATAATTATGTCACCCATAAGATTTATTGGAATATGAGAAAATAATGTGAATTAAATGGAATATAAGTAGGTGAAAAGGGATTTATGAAAAAGTGACCCAATTAGAAACCTTAGAAGGCATAATGTAATTCCTAGAACCACATGGGATACTTTACTATTTAAATAAACATCAGAGGGTGTGTATGTAATGTACCCTTAAAACTATGAACATTTTCACTAATGTGTAATAATTTTTGAAAACCTCTCTTGCTTAGTAATTTCCCCAAAAAACTATGTCACAATAAAATTTACATTGACAAGTTATATTATCAATTAAAAATGTATGCTACAAAATATGATTATGAAAACTTAATTAGTAATTAATTTTGCATCATTTTAAAAAAATTAAAATATGCAAAATTAAAATATATGTTTAAAAGTTTAAAACTGATTGGGCTGCCCTTTGAAACAAAATTATTAGGTGTGTTTGGTAACATTTACGTTTTCAGTTTATATTTACAAAAGTTTTATAAACTGATTTTTGTTTATTTTTAGAAAAACATAACTACAAACGCGTTTGGTAATTAATAAAATGTTTAAAATTTTTTAAAAATATAAAAAAGAATGAGAAATGGCAAGTGGCGACAAGTGGTGGTGGAAGACGGTGGTAGAAAGTGGTGACAGTGGGTGGTGGGTAGCTGGTGGGTGGTGGTGGTGGTGGTGGTAGTGGTGGGTGGTGGTGGCAGGTGGGTGGCGGATGGCTGGTGGTGGTAGGTGAGTGGGTGACGGTGGCGGGTGGGTGGTGGGTGGTGATGCTTTTTGGCTAAAACAGTAAGTCTCCAAACGGGGCCTAAGTCACAATAAAATTTACATTGACAAGTTATATTAGCAATTAAAAATATATGCTGCAAAATATGATTATAAAAACTGTAATTAGTAATTAATTTTGCATCATTTAAAAAAATGAAAACATGCAAAATTAAAATATATGTTTAAATGTCAGGAATTTCAAATTCCGATTAAAAGGTTTAAAACTTTGAAATAAAATTATTAAGTAATTTTGTAACACTAGGTGACATTATGTGAGGCTATTAACAAGTAAAAATTACAAAAGCATTGAATTATTTATTATATTATAAAAGTAAGTAAAATTTAATAATTTTTGAAAACCTCTCTTGCTTAGTAATTTCACCAAAAAACTAAGGCCATGTTTGGGAACAGGCTAATTTAGTAATTTTTTAGCTATTTAGCTAAAAAGGTAGGTAAAAAAACTTATATGTTTGGGATAACTTTTTGGCTAATTACGAAAAGATGTGCAGAAAGTAGAGAGAAAAGAGAATTTTTGACTTTTTAGTATGAGTTGTTGACTTTTTGACTAAAAATGTAATTTTTTGACTTTTTGGCTAAAACAGTAAGTCTCCAAACGGGGCCTAAGTCACAATAAAATTTACATTGACAAGTTATATTAGCAATTAAAAATATATGCTGCAAAATATGATTATAAAAACTGTAATTAGTAATTAATTTTGCATCATTTAAAAAAATGAAAACATGCAAAATTAAAATATATGTTTAAATGTCAGGAATTTCAAATTCCGATTAAAAGGTTTAAAACTTTGTTAATAATTTTTGAAAACCTCTCTTGCTTAGTAATTTCACCAAAAGTCACAATAAAATTTACATTGACAAGCTATATTAGCAATTAAAAATATATGCTGCAAAATATGATTATAAAAACTGTAATTAGTAATTAATTTTGCATCATTTAAAAAAATGAAAACATGCAAAATTAAAATATATGTTTAAATGTCAGGAATTTCAAATTCCGATTAAAAGGTTTAAAACTTTGAAATAAAATTATTAAGTAATTTTGTAACACTAGGTGACATTATGTGAGGCTATTAACAAGTAAAATTTACAAAAACATTGAATTATATATTATCTTATAAAAGTAAGTAAAATTGAATGTCTTGTACAAATTTTGGTACATAATTTGTTAAAATCATTGCATGAAATTCATGAATAATAACAAAGGATACTCTAGTGTAAGTGTTTGCAATTCAACTAAAAAATTATATATATATATATATATGTATTTTTATTTTTAGTGTTTTAAAAAAAAATTGTGATCAAATTTATTTTTTTGAAAGATTTAATAAAATAAAAAGCAAAAAAAGCTTAATTTTTTTTTATTTATTTATTACTTTTAGTAGAACAAAGTTTTTAAATTTTTTAAAAAATCACTCCAAACAAAAGAAAGAAAGAATGAAAAAAAAAATCTAAAAAACAATAATAAAATAATAAAAAGAGTAAATTATATTTTGTCCATTTTATGTTTGGTCTTTTTCTCATTTTAGCTCTTAAAGTTTGTTTTTTCCTATTTTAATCATTTATTTTTTAATTTTTTTTCACTTTGCTCTTACAAATAACTATATTTGAAATTAGATAGAAAATGTCACAATAGTTGACATATAATATAAACAAAATATTATTATATTTTAATTTAAATTTACATGAGAGATGTGAGTCATATATAATAAAATATTTTTATATTACATAACTATCAATATATCATTTTATGTTTAAATTTTTATGTTTAAATTTTAATAAAATTAATTTGAGAAGTAAAATAAAAAATTTAAAATATAAAAAGTCAAAGTAAAAAAAATAAATTTTAAAGATCCAAATAAGAAAGTAGTCAAAACAATAAAAAGGCAAAATAAAATATAATGGTATTTTGTGAAATTGGTAAAATTTTTTGACTTTTTTTATAATTTTTTTATTTATATAAAAAATAAAAAAATGGTATAATTTAAAAAAATTAAAAAATTAATTTTTTAGGAGCTTGTCAAAACGGCCATAGGTGGGGTCCGTTGGTGGTAGTAATTAAGGGCTATTTTGCAAAGCTGACTCTTAATCATTTTTTTGGTTTGTTGTAAAAGTTAAAAGTTGATTTTTTTGTCTTTTTTTTCATTTAAAAAGTTGATTTTTAGCCAACGGTGAAATTACAATTTTACCTTCATGGGTCAAAATATGTTACATAGGTAAAGTTATAAATATTTTAAATAAATGAGGGTAGTTTGGTCATTTTATTATGATTTGATATCATAAACAAACATTAATAAAAAAAAGTCAAAAATCACTTTTTACCAACTTCTCAAATCATTTATTAAAAAAAAGCCAAAAACTTAGTTAAGAGCAAAAAATTTAAAAAAAAAAAAAAAGAAAATCACTTTTTACTCTCTTTCCAAAATAAGCCTAAATCGCGCAAACAGCCGAGCCGGTGGTGTGTTCATGTGTACCCTCCCTCAATCCTCGATTGTATAATAAGATAAATACTAGCCAGACAAGGACCAAAAAAAACAACCCAGAGGTGCGCAGAGAGAGATTGGTCTGATTGCTCTGATTATACTATACACACATATACATACACCATCAGTACACATATAGAGGTCGAGTACTCGAAATCGAATTAAAGAAGAAGAAGAAGAAGAAGAAGAGAGCTGTGAATTGAGAGAGAGAGAGAGATGGCGATGCGAGACCTTGTGACTGGTGGTGCGGCTTGTGCTGTTCCTGGCTCATCTTCTTCCTCAAACCCCTTCGGTGCTTTAGCCAACAAAATTATCGGTTCTTCTACCAACCAGGTCTCTCTCTCTCTCTCTCTCTCTCTCTCTCTAAGCAGATAATTGTTTTGAAATTTGTCCAAGTGATGTTATTGTACATGGCATTTCTGGCCGAAGAAATTTTTTTTTTTTTTTTTTTGTGCTGATTCTGGTTCTATATCGTTTTGGTAATCTGGTGAAGTTACAATTGTTCTCCAATGATGGAATTTTGTGCTTCTCTTCAAAAAATTATCTACTAATTTGTTGGGGTTTGCTTAGATTTTATTTGGTTGGGCCAAATTAGAACAAATTTTACTCCCAAATGGAATTCTAAAACTGTTATCCAAAGTAAATCTAGTGATGGGCTTGTTTTGGTTTTAGATTAGTTTGTTGTGGCTGCAATGAAGTCTAATGGTGAATTCTGATAAGCTAGGGTTTCTATGTTTAGGTGTGTGGGATATGGACAGTAGTAGCAATTCTTGGACTAGGTTATTTGGTGTTTAGTTTTTGTATAGTCTAGGGTATGTGCATTCATGTAGTTTTTCTTTTTATACAAAGCTTGATTACCTTTAAAAAAAAAAGTTATCCAAAAAGTGAACTTGATTATGAGCTTTAAGTCAACGACGGTTGTGGAAATATATGCACTTGATTATGGAGAATGCTACTTTTTCTCTACATTCATTTCATGTTCTATATCAAAATCAATATCCAGTATAATTTTTTGAAAGCATTAAGTGGTGTGAAGTGCAAATAAGTTCTATTTTACAAGATGTATTATGTATTATATCAGTGCTTCAGGATTTTCTAGTATTGGTCTGTTAGTGTTTGCTGCATCTGTAGTTTTTGATACTCATTCTTATTGCATGTGGACTATATTAAAGTTGGAAAGGCTGAAGGAGATTCCTACGCTAACAACCACGACTCCTGATGGTAGTTTTTACCCGGGAGCTAATGAGCCATTAACTATGCTCCCGGGATCAGACTTTGATCATCAGATGCAGCCTAATGGCCAGGTTTTTGATCTTGTTCTTTGGTGAATTTTCTTGCTGGATTCATTGGATTACTCTCATCAATATTCATTTATGCCAGGTCGCACAATTTTTCCAGCGCTTCCGCCCTGCAGATGAGGGTAGACTTGATGGTGTTTGGGATGAGATGCACAATCCTCAACCAGACAGTCTGAGCAACTTGCCTGTGATGGTGCACCCAATAGGAGTTAATACTCGGCCTCAATCAGATTTGGAAGGTAAACTTGAGCCCTCTCTAGTTTTGAGTGAACTTCAGATGTGAATGGTAGAGTCTGTCTTGCATTTCCGGACTAGAGAAGTTTATAGTTATCTTGCTTCTCAGATTCTGGCATGACCGCTTTAAGAATATGAGCAGTCTTTATTGCGTTTCTGGTTGAAAAGGTTTCCCACTTAATGGTCCTGATGATTTAATTTTCATTTTTAGTTTATTGTGTGAGAATGTTGTCATTTTTTGGGTGGAGAAAATTGAGAATGTTTGTGGATTTGTGAAATTAAGTTCTTATTACTTCAATTCTTTGTAAATGATTGATCATTTTTTTATGAGAGCATTGTGCTGAAGTCAATGAACCACGTGAAACACTTGTGTTTGGAGTGATTGTTTGTTTTTGTTGTGGTTTGTTGAGCATTTGTACATTGTCTAGAATTTATTATTTCCTTGGTCATTAGGATTTTAGTCAAATTGAAAAGAAGTTGGTTGTATAGATGCTTTTATGTGGTTTGCTTGACATTTTCATGACTTCAAAAATTATTTTATCTTCTTTATATCCAACTCCAATTCTAACTTGAACAGCTACATAATTTAGTCATTAGCAAGTAAATGTAGTCTTCAAATTCTCAGAGGTCAAGCCTGTAAGTAATTTGATGGAAGAAAATGATTTTAGTTAGAATGTAAAATGAAGAAATTTAGGATTGGGATTTAGAAGGAAGAAGAAGAAGAAGAAGAAGAAGAAGAAGAAGAAGAAGAAGAAGAAGAAGAAGAAGAAAGAGTAATTTTATATATGTTGAATAATCATTGTTTCTCAACTTTACATAAGCCAAATATATATACAAGTCCTAACATAGCAATATGACCATCGTACCTCAACTTATGTAAATATTAACAAGAGAACAAAAGAATAAAAATAAGTATTCTAACACTCTCCCTCAAGTTGGAGCAAGTTGGAGCATAGAGATCGAACATGCCCATCTTGACGGATAAACGATGAAACGAAGACTGAGCCAACGACTTGGTTAGAATATCACCCAATTGATCTGCAGAACGAACATAAGGAGTCACAAGTTGCTTGCGGAGTAAGATATCACGAATAAAATGGCAATAAACTTCTATATGTTTGGTGCGTTCATGAAACACTTGATTTTTGGTAGTGAAGATAGCAGCCTGATTGTCACAAGAGATGCTCAAAGGAGTGGGAACAGAAAAGCCAAAATCTTGGAGAAAAGACTGAATCCAAAGCATCTCAGAAGCAGTATGAGCCATGGTACGATACTCAGCCTCGGCATTAGACCGAGCAACAACAGTCTATTTCTTGCTACGCCAAGTAACAAGAATACCACCAACAAGGGACAATAGCTCGAGGTGGAACGTTGGTCAATCTTATCATCAGCCCAATCAGCATCACTAAAGCCAGTGACAGACATAGAGGAAGCTGGGCGATAGAGCAAACCCCGACTTGGAGCACTCTTCAAGTATTGCAAGATATGACACACAGCCACAAAATGGGGTTGGCAGGGAGCATGCATAAACTAACTGACCACACCTATGGCATAGGTAATATCGGGACGAGTGACAGTGAGATAGATTAACTTCTCAGCCAACCGACAATAACGACCAATATCGAGAAATAAGTCTCCAGTGTCACCATCAAGCTTGGCACTAGAATCCATGGGAGTATCACTGGGGCGAGTGCCTAGGAGGCCAGTCTCAGTAAGAAGAGCAAGAACATACTTCCGTTGAGAAAGAAACAAGCCCTGAGAAGAGCGGGCAACTTTAATTCCAAGAAAATACCGAAGATGGCCTAAATCTTTAGTGTGAAATTGTTGTCCTAAATACTGCTTCAAATTAGCAATACCATTGGAGTCACTCTTTGAAATGATGATGTCATCCACATAGACAATAAGAACAGTGCTCCCAGTAGATGAGTGGTGAACAAAAACAAAGTGATCAAAGGTGGAACGGGAAAATCCATAGGCAAGCACAACAACACTGAAGCGATTAAACCAAGCACGAGAGGACTGCTTAAGACCAAGGCCTTCTGCAATCGGCAAACAAGATGCTCCTGGCCGGGAACAACATAGCCAGTGGGCTAATCCATATAGACCTCCTCTTGGAGATCACCATGAAGAAAGACATTCTTGATATCAAGTTGGTATAAAGGCCAAGACTTGTTAACCGTGACAGAGAGAAGAATCCGAACAGAGTTCAGACGAGCCATAGGAGAGAAGGTCTCCAAGTAATCAACACCATAGGTCTGGGTGTAGCCTTTAGCTACTAAGCGAGCCTTAAGTTGCTTAACAATTCCATCGGGAAAATACTTAACAGTATAAATCCAACGATAACCCATAATAGATTTGCTAGACGGCAAAAGGTTAAGTTCTCACGTCTGATTCTGATAAAGAGCAAGCATTTTCTCATCCATGGCATGTTTCCAACCAGAGATGGACATAGCCTGCTGATAGGAGCGGGGAATGGAAATACTAGACAAGCTACAAGCAAAAGAGTGAAAACCAAGAGAGAGGCGATTATAAGAATCGAAAGTAGCAATAGGATGTTGAGTGCAAGTTTGTTTATCTTTGTGGAGTGTAATAGGAAGGTCATCAGATGGCATATCAGTAGGTGGAACAGGGACCTTAGACGAAGGAGATGAACTGGTCGGGCCATAAGACACAATGCGATGAGGTTAAGACCGTTGATAAACCTGCAAAGGAGGGGTAGAAGTGAGAGGAGAGGTAGAGGATATAGGAGTGGATATGGAAGGGGCATAAGTGGAAAGAGTAGGAGTGAGAGAGGCTGACTCCCCCATACGATAAGAGAGAAGACTTGTGGATAATTGTTGGCCAGAGGAAGAAAAAAACGGAGTAGACTCAAAAAAGGTAACATCAGCACTGACAAAGTAGCGACGACTCAAGATGATAACAGCGATACCCTTTCTGAGTGCATAGCCTAAGAACACACACTTGTGTGCTCTAGGAGATAACTTATCTAAACCAGGGTCAAGAACATGGACAAAGGCCACACAACCAAAAGTGTGAGGAGGCAAGGGAAAAGGAGATGGTGTGGGATATAACAGAGATCAGGGAGATTGGTGGACAACACTAGAGGGCATGCGATTGATAAGCAAACAAGTGGTGAGAACTACATCGCCCCAAAACTGTTTGGGGACATGCATATTAAACATTAGTGTGCAAGCAACATCTAACAAATGACGGTATTTTCGCTCTGCAACACCATTTTGAGGGGATGTATGAGAACAACTAGTTTGATAGATAATACCATGAGTATCACAAAAGGTACTTACAATAGATTACACATATTCTAAGGTATTATTAGACCGAAATATCTTAATACGTTTGCCAAATTGAGTAAAGATTTTATTATAAAACTTAGAGATTATGGAAGGCAAATCAGATCTTTGTTTCATTAAAAACAACCAAGTCATCCGAGAGTAATCATCCACAAAAATAACAAAATAAAAGAAACCATTAACAATGCGAGTTCTAGAAGTACGCCAAGTATCTGTATGGACAAGAGCAAACGACTCAGACACACAGCTAACACCACGACTAGGAAAAGAACTACGGTGATGCTTCCCAAATTGACAGGCTTCACACTCAATCTAAGAAACATGACTCAAACCCGGAACAACTAACTTGAGCTTGGCCAAGGAGGGATGACCCAAGCGAAAATGCCACTAAAGAGGAGATACAGTAGCACTCAACAGAGCAGATGGAGGATGAGGAGAGGTCTTAGTGTCCAAAAAGTATAAGCCATCCTTCTCATGCCCCGAATCAATCATCCTCTTGGTCTGGAGGTCCTGAAAAACATATGAAGTAAGAGAAAATGTTATCGAACAGTGGAGAGCTTGAGTCAATTGGCTAACAGAAAGCAAATTAAATGGAAACTTAGGAACATAAAGAGCAGAGGGTAAGGAAAGGGATGGAGTGGGATGAAGAGGACCTTGATCACAAACAGGTCTAGAAGATCCATCAACAAGTATAATTGTATAATCAACAGGTCAAAGAGTATAAAAAAGAGAGGAATTACCAGAAACATGGGAACTAGCTTTAGAGTCTAGGAGCCAAGGCTGAGAGGACTTAGCCACACATGAAATATTACCTGAACTAGCCATAGTAGCAGTAGAGGATGAAGGTAGACTAGGCTGGAGATACTGGACAAGAGCGGTAAGCTCATTATTCTGAGTAATGAGTGTCTCATGTGAATCAACCGGGGAAGCAACAGAACCAGTGGAAAGCAAGGATGACTGTGAGGATGGAATATCAATAACCTGATGGACATGGTTAGGTTTGCCATACTTCTGCCGGCACTAAGGTTCAGTATGACCTTGGGAACCACAACGAGTACACTTGCGATCACCACGTGTGCAAGAACTAGGTCCACTACTACCTCCACCCCTGAAACCACCACGGGAGCCACCACTACGAGAACCAGCCACACGAGAACCCTGTGAATCAGAATAAGAGCCTCGTTGACCAGATGTGCCAAGAAAACCCCCTCAAGTAGACCCACGATCAACACTACTTGAGACTAATGCAGAAGATGACAAGGCAGAGAATCTGGAGGTGGATTGTGCCTGTCCCAAAGAAGAACGTAATAGCTGAGAATAGGCATTAGCAGCAGAAGGTAAAGTCTCACTGGCAAGAATCTGATCCTTGAACCCCCTGCAATTCTGGAATTAAGCTAGAGAGTAAAGAAGCCATTATGAACTCCTTCCAATGTTGCTTCTGTTTATTCACATTAGTAGTGAAGGGTTGATACTGCAATAACTGATCCCACAAGGTCTTGAGACTACTATAATAATCAGAAAGGGACCGGCCAGATTGGCGCATAGCAAAAATCTGCTCACATTGCTCATAGACCTGAGAGACATTGCTCTGATTTGAAAAGGAGTCAGCAAGGGAGTCCCAAATTTCCTTAGAGGCATCACAAAATTCCATTGTAGTAGCAACCTGTAGTTCTAAGCTATTCCAGATCTAACCCATAACATGGGAATCCTCACTACACTAATCATCATAAGCTTTGTCGTCAGTGGCAGGACGGAGTTCGTTAATGAAGCGGGATTTTTTCTTACCACGTAAGAAAATTTTTATAGCATGAGCCCAAGCTAAATAATTGGCACCATTCAACTTCTTGGTAGTAATAGATTTGGGCATGTCATCATCTTTACTCACAGCCATTGCCTTAGTCTCAATTTCAACCATGACAATCAATCACACAAAATACTCAACACAAGAGTATGAAAGTAACAAAATTCTTGCAAATAGAAATTATCCACACCAATCAGCACTCACAGTCATGAGTATAGCCACTGGAAATAGTTCAATCAACAAGAATCCAAGATTATAGAGGCATGAGTCGAAAACCTATGTCTACCAAACAGATTTGGATGCAAATTCAACCAAAAATAGCAACCCACCAACACAAATCAACACTTTAAGATCAACCAGACCTTGCTAAATAATTTCTAGCCCCTATATAGTAAGTTTCAGTGGGTAGAGGCTAGAGAATAACACTGCCAACTATGTATAAGAGTCCAAAATTGAATCAAAGATCAACCCAATAGTAGTAAATCAACAAAACAATAGCAAATAACACTGAAAGAGGGAGTTTTGGCTCCCAGAGATAGGATTCCAGCAAGTAGATTCAGCAAAAACAGCCCTAAGAGCAGATTTGAAAAACAGTCTAAAAGAACTTGAAATACTTTCAAAAGTCGAAAACTCATATTAGGGATGATCAAAAAATTCCATAAAAATCACCATAAATATCAGGGGGCAATTTCGAGTCTAGGGATGAAGGACCCGTCCGTACAGTGCTTATGTCATGCTAACGTCATCGTATGGATGATGGCACTAGCACGTCTCGGTCACCTCAAATCGATCTCCTCAAATCGATCTCCGGAGTCTGTAGAAACCTTTCTGAAGAAGAATAGATTGCTCTGATATCAAGTTAGAATGTGAAATGAAGGAATTTAGGGTTGTGATTTAGGAAGAAGAATAAGAAGAAGAAAGAGTAATTTTATATATGTTGAATACTCATTGTTTCTCAACTTTACATTAGCCAAATATATATATAAACTCTAACATAGCAATATGACCATCGTACCCTCAACTTACGTAAATATTAACAAGAGAACAAAAGAACAAAAATAAGTGTTCTAACAATTTTACTAGCTGAGATTGTTGACCTTTAATTAATTTGATATTTTGTTATTGCTACCGGAAAATGATTGTGTGCAACCTAGGGCATTGGTTCTATAAGATTTTCATTTTTCTGTTTCATCCTGTGTTCTAGGGCCACCACAAAGAGTGTTGTCAAGTTTTCTGCATTCATTTGTTAATAGCGGCCGAGGTGGTATTCCATTACATCCTACTCCACTCCCAGTATTGGGGTTGTCTGAAGGTGACAAGAAATGCATACGTGATCGCAGCAGCATCATGGCTCGGCACATTTTTGCTGATAAGAGTGAAGACTTCATCAATTCACAGGTTGGTGCATATGCTTAGTCTAAAAATCTGCATGCTTTTTCATCATATGGAATCAGTTGGATTCTCGGTTTCTTTTTCTTTCTATCTTTGTTATGTTATGTTCTGCTTGAAATCATTGCGTTCATAGTTTCATGAACTTTAAGAACCATGAGAAATTAGTCTTCATGAATCTCAAGCATTAATTGGAATTTGTATGTCCCAAGGTTGTGTGCCAGATGCAAATTTCTAATTAATTTGTCTATTAACTAATCCAACTTGATATGCACTGCATCAACTACCAGTGCCACTTAGCTGTTGCCACGTAATGTTAGATTTTCAAGACCACCGTTGCACCACCACTGCAGCAACTCCTGCCAAGACTTGCTAATGTTATGTCATCCTCTTACCTCCAAATTCCTCCATGCCAGGTCCACTCCGACGACTGCAATTCTTTGATATTTTACCACACACAACCATCCATGCCTTTGTTAATCCCATAATTGTTACCTTCACAATGTATTATCATGTCATCTTTAACATGCCAGTGGTGCCTGGCACCACCTTAATCTCAAATGAACTCTGCCATAGTGACCCTAATTCTTTTGAACTATTGGAATTGACCTACTTGAAAAATAGGTCCAAACATTTTTAGGTCAAGATTTTTTTGCTTGTTGAATTATTTACTATTTTTTGTTGTCTAGTTGATTACAAGGTTACCTAACCAACCCCTAATCTGTCTATGGGCTGAGGAGATCATACTTTTGCACAGGTGAGTGTAATTCAACTAGATTTGAGGGTAGTCCATGAGACATCAAGTCCTGTATATGTGTGTCCAGACCTTCTAAGTTATTGGGATGTGAGACTCCAAGCACATGAATAGGATCTTAGGGGAGTTCGAATTCATGGATTTGGTCATTGGCGAAACCATTAATATAATTTATGTGGATACTCTGATATGCTGATGGAACATTTATCTGATTCCTTCCTTTATCTCTGTATTTTGACTTCCTTTGCTGCTCTGTTGTTCATTGATTGGAAGTTCATTTGAATTCTGTTACTTTGTCAGGTAAATGCATTATTATCTTCTTTGGACATTGATAATGATATTCGGGCAAGGGGGCCTCTGCCTGGGAGATTTCATGAGCTGGACGAGTATTGGAATGAGTCTCAAGGTATGCTGAAACCTGGGCCTCTTCCTGCAGATGGTTGGGTTGCTGAATATGCGCAACACAGAGTACAACATGGTGACCCTAATGCTTGGGCTCAGTCATTTGAACGACAGCATGGTGCTAATGGTTGGGCTTCTGAATTTGAGCATGTAAGGAAGTTATATATAAGTAGTATATAGGATTTGCAGTGGTGGTACCATCTTTTTTAGTTGATATTGAATTGAATATTTTACTATCATTTGGTATTAGAACCGTCTTAACTGTTAGGTTGGTTAAAGGTCAAGTCAGAGCTGCATATTGAATTAAATGTGTGGCAACAGGCCAGTAAAACTTGTATCACTTTCCAAATCTGTATAAGGAACCTTGTTGGGTTCTCAATTTTGGGGACATTCCAGGACAGGGAATTATGTTGAACACATATTATTGTGGAAAAGTTACAATTATTTAATTCTCTTTTTCCAAGTTTTAATCTCCCAGTTTAGGAATCCTCTCCCATTTTTGCTGCATTAATGTCCTTTTGTCCATTATTCAGTTATCCTAATGTGTTCCTAAATTGTTCTGAAGCGTTCCTTATCTGATTGAATTTTCTTTTCTCACATATGTAGCTGTCGGTCTAATTTATCATATAATTGGATAAATTGCATGCTAACATATTTGCTACTTGTATGTTGTGGTATAAATTATACGGAAGTCTAATGGTATTTGTTTGTTTTTTACAGGAACAATCTCAGATTGCATCATTAAATCCAATGGGAGGTGCAAATATCTCAAACTTAGCTGCCATGGAGCAGACTCGTATGCTAGCACACACATTAGCTCAGAATAATGACCCTAAATTCCAGGTTGTATGCTGTTTTTTGACATTTGTTCTCATAAATGATCACATGGTGGGCTTGTGCTTTTATGTTTTGTTGTTTGTGTTATCCTGGACGTGTGTTGATATAAAAGGTTTTCAGAATCAAAGCTGGTTTTTGTGAAGAATTAATTTGCACGTCTATGTAAATAATAGGACCCAGTACTTACTGAACTTGATATTCTGAGGGAGTTTCACTCATAATGAGCTTGCCGACTCAGTCATAATCTACGGAACAGTTTTGAACTTTTAAAGATTCACCCATTCATCTCAAGCAGGGAATGTAGGATATTTAGATCTAGCACTCATTTTTCTATGGCATGGTTCACATTTTACTGATTATTAAATCCCCAGATAAATATATATCTGTCTGATGAATTGTTAGTTAATTTTAGCAATAAGATGCCATATCACTGGAAAAAAAAAAATAGCAGCTGCTGGTTAAAAAAAATAAAAATTTTAGGACTAAAAGAATTATCCCAAGAAATATTACAGCGGTCACAAAAAAATGGCCAAACTTTTGTAATGAAGCTTGATTAAGACATGAGTTATACATGTGTGTATTTATATATATGTATATTCTTTTAATCAAATAAGAGAATACACAGATTACTTTTTGTAAGTAGGCCAAAAAACTCGTAATTGGTAATTGAAATGGTCAAGCATAGGAAAGGCTGCTATGCATGACTTCTTCATTGTTTATAACATCAAAAACAAAAAATTATATGCATTGCTTTGTTTCCATTTTATCAATACTCATCACATTTTGGGGGCATACAGAATTCAAAGTTTCTTCAATTTGTGTCGAAGATGAGTCGTGGTGAAATTTTTATTGAGGATAATCAAGTCAAGCCAACTGCAGTATCTGCACCTGGGGATTGGGCAACAGAATATCAACAGCAGCATGATGGAGGTCATGCATGGGCTGACCAGTTCGTGCATGATAAGGCAAGTATAAATAATTGGCCAATATTTAAATTGTATTTATAAAAAATATAAGCAATTGACAAACATGTGAAGCGTTAGACTCGGCTTTACTTATTGACTACATGTTATTATCAGTGGATATTCTTGGAGTTTTGGTCTGACTAAGTTTTTCATTGTCGAGTCACCTATTATTTGCCATCAATACCGTGTTAGGATACTTTCAGGCTTTCAGCTCACTTTGCCATTCTGTTCCACCTAAAACCTAAACAAGAACCCATTCACATCCCTGTCTGGAAATTAAAATCGAAAGAAATAATAAAAATTTATTGTTTAATTTCGCTCAAGTTGTGAGTCTCTTGGTAAATCATTGCTTTCATTTGAAAAAAAAAGATGTCATTTCTTTCAAAGGGTGAGGAATCATTTGTGCGATCAAGATTGTTCTTTTGATGACTAGTTTGCATTAGAAGACAAGAAAAAAAGGTTTTCAGAGAACTTGAGGGAAGTGGGTTGTCATCTAAGGAAACTTGGTGCTGAAATGAAGAAGTTCAAAAATTAATCAAAACAAGAAGAAATTGTCACAAGCGATACATGCATGTAGGAAAAATGAAAACTTTGAAAGTGATAGTGCCTCTAAAGGTAAGGATTTTTATGTGGTCTTTGGCTCATGGGAAAATCATTACTAATAATATTTTTCAAAAGAGGAGACACCATCACTTCCTTTCTCCTCAATGGTGGATAATGTGTAGTAGTGAGGAATATTTGGATAACTTATTCCTGCATTGTCAAGTGGCTTTGGATCTTTGGCATCAACTCTTTTGTATGGTTGATATCCCATGGGTGGTACTGGGCATGTGTGCGCACATGAAATATTTACATTTTTGCTAGACTGTTGTTTGTGGTGTTCACTCATTAAGTCAAAGTATGGTTGTAGGAATGGGCAGTGTAGTGATAAAGCATGGGGTTCCTTTGATGTGGTTGTGGAAAGGTTTCTTTGTATTGGAGTAAATTTCAGAAGATATTTGATTTCAAGTGAGGAATGGTGATGACGTTTTCTTTGTTAGTGACGGCTCTCTGCTGGATGCCTTTCTTCTCATGTTTGCTATTTCTGGCTCCCAGGAATCGTCGAGGTGGTTTAGTCTCTTAGGTCTAGAATCTTCACTATAGATAATTTGAGATGGACAAAGTAAGTGATTGTGAGTTGGTGTTGTATGTGTAAATTGAACAGTTAATTAGTGCACCATCTCGTTATCTGCTGCCAAGTGACGAGGGAACTTTGGAAACTTTGGACTTCAGTTGCATCTTCTTTTGTGGTTTGGTGGGCATTCCCCAATGGAGTGGTTGAACTTCTTAATAGTTGGCAGAGAGCTAGAGTGGGGAAGAGGAGGAAGAAGCTTCGGATTTTTATTCCTTTATGCCATGTGTTGATTTTCTTTATAAATTTTACTTATAAATTTTTTCCCGCACTGTTGACTTCTTTATTTATCCTAATCCTCATGGTTAATCTGTACCATTAATAGTTAGTGAGGTTGCTCTAGATAAGCAGTTTTCTATGTTCTTTTTGCTCCTAAATTAGTCAGTATTATCGTTGATTTTGTATCCAGTAAAAAATATCTCAGCCTAAATGCTTTGTGGTTTTCAGCTTTCTCATGGACCAGATGGGTGGGCAAATGAGTTTGCTGCTGAACGTGAGCTACATGGGTCAATCGATGATCAGTGGGTCAATGAATTTTCGAAGTTGAATGTTCAGGACTGGGCGGACGAATTTGGGCGTCAGGTCGGCGAAGGGGCATTGGGGGAGAGTTCTACTGATAACTGGGCAAATGCATACGATGAGTAAGTCCACTTGACTTGAAATGAGAGATTGAAGGGATCATTTAGTGCTTCAATTTTTTTTAAACTAGTTGACTATGTTCTGTTTGAAATTTTGAGGCTGCTTGAAACAACAAGAGCAATTGTGTCCTATCATCTGATTGATTCTCTTCAAATTGGTCATGATGATATCCTATATTTTGTTTGCTAATTGCCACAATTTCGAAAATGGAGCACTGTGTATGCCTTCTAACTTGAGTAGTTATGCCGCAAAAGTGGGTTATAAGAAATCATTTGATACTTTGTTATTTATCAATCCTTTATTGTTCCTATATATTCTTTTAGCTTTTTACTACTTGGCCATATCCTATTGGGAAATTTGGTATGCCTCTTGAAGCAATTATGGGCAATTGCTTGCAGTCAACCAATTGATTCTCTTAAAATTGGTTGTGATCATATTCTGTATTTTGTTCATTACAGCTTTACACAAAAGGAGCATGCTTCAAGCTTGAGTAGCAATGAGTGAGGTTATTAGTTTGGATGCTATCTTCCTTAGGATGAAGACATTTATTGATCCACATAGAAACCCTTCATATGCTGATTTTAAAAAATATATTTTTCTTTATTTGTTTATTTAATTTGGAAAAGATTCAAGTGTTAATGAATGGTGAATTCACTAGTTTTGTGAGTCACAATTCACAAAACAGAATCAAACTACTTATTTCTTTTTCTTTTTCCTTTTTTTTTTTTTTTCTTTTCCTGTTTTTTTCCCCTTTGGCCTCTATTCTCTAATTATTTTCTTGTAAGGAATTGAAATGTCTTTGGGTCCTTTGAAAAGTGTTACCATCCATTTCCCCATCACTATGAGCTTTTGCCAGGCTGTTGATCTTCCTTCGTATTTCTTTTCTTTGTTGCAATAATATTCTATCTGATTGTGTTGCACTATTGATTTTATCACAAATCCTGACATTGTCAGCAACAGTTCACATTTATTTTTACTGAAATAAGTATCTTGTGAATTATGATGTTGGGTTATATGCTTGAGAAGACTTTTTGTTGACTCTATTTATTTTTATTTGTTACTAAAGTTCCAAATTCTGCTCTGAGTTTTATCTTTTTGTTGTTGCATGAAACATTTGGGGAATCAATGGATAGTTACTTGAACGAACAAGTAGCTTCCAAGCAACGATCAGACACTTCGAGGGGGGTCTATGAGTTCTCTGATATGAATCCTTATGTTGGTCGCCCCAATCCATTGAAAGAAGGTCAGGAGCTGTTTCGCAAAGGGCTTTTGAGTGAAGCTGTACTTGCTTTTGAGGCTGAAGTTCTTAAAAACCCTGACAATGCTGAAGGTTGGAGGTTACTTGGAATGGCCCATGCTGAGAATGACGATGACCAACAGGTTGGAATAATTATTGCACACTATTTTCTGAATGTCCTTCCTTGCATATGGTGGTCTTAAATCTTTTACGCATCTTCTCCTTAAGCACTAACTAGCAGTCGCACGGGATTTGTGAAGTTCAATAGCTATGTTAAAAATTGTTTCTCGATTTTAATGTATGAAATACATAAAATATTTTTATTTAAAATTAATTTACATAAATTTGGTGTCCTTTTAGTTTTGGTTTTTTACATTTTTTTATGTATATATAGTAGTTGTACTCAACTCCATTCTCTGAACAAAACCCTGAAGAGTAATGTGTATAGAGTGCAGTTGGAACCTGCATATCATCCATTAAAATCAAGCTGAAATTCCTTAGGTTTTAATTTTGATCTTGATTTTGGATATTGGAGCAATGATTCCCTAATTTTGTGATGGAAAATTTCTGTCACAGGCTATTGCAGCCATGATGCGTGCACAGGAGGTTGATCCAACAAACCTGGAAGTGCTTCTTGCTCTCGGCGTGAGTCATACGAATGGTTAGTGGTTGCTTCTCTTTGTGCACAAAAATTGGAGTTTGTAACTGCAAATATATTCAGCTAATCCTAATATTAGTCACTATGTTTCTAGTTGAACTTTTATGATGTTTAGTCCGTGGTTGAATTTAGTGTTCCGTCAAACATTTCAAGTTTCTGGGAGTAATTATTGTGCAAAAAATTCACAATGTCTAGAGCCAGTGAGAGACCCAATTTAACTAGTATCATCAACACTATGATGGGCAATCATTTTTTTTTGGGGGGTGAAATTTCAGAGTTGGAACAACCAGCTGCATTGAAGTACTTGTATAGTTGGCTACGCCATCATCCAAAGTATGGGACGCTTGCCCAACCAGAGATGTCTGATTCTCTGTATTATGCGGATGTACGTATTTATTTTACCAAATTTAAACACCAAACTCTTTTGTCAGCTGTACAATGTACACCACCACTGGAGACACATGTCTAGTTGCTTTTGTTATTCATCTGAGAATCAGTACTTTGTTTGTGTATGGCATACAGGTTGCTAGATTATTCAATGATGCTGCGCAAATGTCACCCGAGGATGCGGATGTACACATAGTACTTGGTGTATTGTTTAACTTATCCAGAGAATATGACAAAGCCATTGCATCCTTTAAGACTGCTCTGGTACTCAAGCCACGAGATTACTCTCTTTGGAACAAGCTCGGTGCAACACAAGCTAACAGTGTTCAGAGTGCTGATGCAATAGAGGCTTATCAACAGGTACTCCTTATTTAATGAGAGTACTCACTCTTAAGAGCCTTTTGGATACCACGCTAAGATGAAACAAAAATCAGGCCATTTATTATTTTCACGTTCCTCCTTAAATGACTATTCATTGAGCTTCCAGATTCACATGTTGTTAAACATTGTACAACTATTGCAAGTTCCATCTCTCGGATTACTGAAATCTTACCTAAAGTTGAGCTTGAAACCTCTTCTCAGTTTCAGATTTCCTTGCAGCTCCTGATATTTTGATGCTGAGTTAGTTTTTAATTATGCTATATCAATGGCATCTGTTACTTTGAGGGTACTTTACTCTCATCCTAAAATGTATGAGTAAAAAATTCACTTGGTTTGGATGTTAACCTATCATGGCTCGCAAGCTGAACACTGTAATGTGGTTAATTGTCTTTAACTTGTGTCTAGGAGTGGGACCCATTCAATAAATGCACATGGGACCCATTCACTTGTGTTTAGGAGTGAGAAAGAAAGATAAGAAATGGGATTTATATGTAGCATTTTCCAATAATTATACAGAGCAACAAAAAAACAAAAACAAGACACTGTAGTTATGATTGCGTCTTCTACTGCCTCAGTATTTCTGCAATAGTGCACGTGTGCAACTATGTTTGACTTGTTTGTGATCAAATTTCCACGTTTCTTTTCTGGCATGTAACACATTCAATTTCTTGCTACTTATGCTATTTTATTACTGGTTTCTCAGGCACTAGATTTGAAGCCTAATTATGTTCGTGCATGGGCTAACATGGGTATCAGTTATGCCAATCAGGTTCTTTCCCGTGCTTTCTTTTCATGCGGAATACTATATCTGGCTTTCATTGCTAAAAGCTTAAAAAACAATGTGATGTCCTCCTTTTGTTCTTTTTACCTATTTGGGTGTGGGGTGTTGGTAATATGAGGTTTCTTTTAGAAGCATTTATATACTATTTTGAGATTACTGTTAGTTGAATAAAGCCAGTGGCACTGCATGGTTTTTACAACACGTCCTTTAACAGCTATAAATCCACTTTTAGAGTCCAGTTGGATAGATGGATTTTAAATCAAGGGGTTTGAGGTTGAATTTTATAAAAATATTAAAGAGTTAGCTATATAGGTGGATGAAAAAACTAGAGAAGAAGATTAGTTGAGATAGAAGAGATGCATTTTAGTAGGGTATGAATAGTACAAAAGAAAAGAGAGATAAAATAAAGATCTTTATATTTGTGGAACATGAAATCATGTCATTGTGTTCACTTGGTATTTGAACAAGAAAACCTATCATTCCACTTGGAATATTTTCTTTTGTTGAATATGTTAACATTGTTTTTCTTTTTGCATTTAGGGTATGTATGAAGAGTCCATCCGTTACTATGTCCGTGCTCTTGCAATGAATCCAAAGGCAGATAATGCCTGGCAATATTTGAGAATTTCTCTAAGGTACACCCATCAAAGAAAATCTCTCTCATTGCTCCAATGCAATTCAACTATGTCTCATGTTTCTCAACCATCTTTTTCGTATTTGCAGCTGTGCTTCTCGGGATGACATGGTGAAAGCTTGTGACTCCCGGAATCTTGATATTCTCCAGAAAGAGTTCCCACTTTGATCTGCATTCATTTGTTTGGGATATTGATGAATAATAGGCTCTGCTTTTGAGATCTGGTCCGGGTTTGCTGCACCTTGAATCTTGATCCCTCACTGGAAAATTTCCCGGTTTCTAGATTAAGTGTGGCCAAGCTTGACCTCTAAAATTTATTTTGAATTTCTTGTATAATTGAGCTCCCACTGGTGTGGCTGTTCAAGATTTATTGTAAGGGCACGATACAAAAAGGAGCAAAATAAATTGTAGCAATACAGAAGTGGGATGAATGGGAGCTATTTAATATAGAACTTGAAATCTCTCTCTCTCTCTCTGTTTTTTTGTTTTTGGTCTCGTTGGGAAGTGCATTTGCATAATTACTTTTGTATTATTGCTTGCTCGCTGGTGTTTAGATTTACATTTTAATAAACTCATACCTCCCTGAGGAAGAATCAATCAAAATAAGGTACTAGATTTTATGAAGTATGCTGGAATTCATACTTAATGAAAAATATTTTTCTGTTGATTTTTATTTTTTATTGTACCAAACGTCAAAAAATACGGAAAATGTCTTTCGCTTAAATAATCAGAGTGCTAGCTCACATTATTTTTTTCATTTGGATATTAATTATTGAATAAAAATCAGTAGTGTGAATATTAATTATCGGAATTGTTATTCTAGAGTTTATATTTGAATGAAAAATTAGAATAAACAGAGAAACATGTTTTATATGATAGAAACTCAGCGATTTTGATAATAAAATGCAAAAATGTTTTCAAATGCCTTAAAATAAATTATTTTGAGTTATTTTGGCTTCTTTTTCTTTTCATTTTTCCCTTTTTTTCTTTTTGGCAATACAAAATAAAACTTAAATTTTAAAAATTTATTTTTCTTACCATTTCTCTTCATTTATCTCTATTTTCATCTCCATAATCATGTAATTTTGTAAATAAATAATGTGAAATATAGTTAGCATTTGGTAGAGTTTTAGAATTATGATTTGAGAATAGAGTTGTATTTTGAGTTTGTGAGATTTGGAATTATGATTTGAGTGTAGAAAATTTGTTTTGAAATGAGTTTTGAATTGAGTTTGAAATTTTTTATGTAACATATGATATTTGATTCAAAAATTTACAATTCATAACCAAACACGTACTCCAAAATTCTATTCAAAACTCATAAAAAATTTTAAAAATATTTTTTTATTTAAAATATAAAAATAACAGGTACCAATTACTCTAAAAAATTTATAAAAAAAATAGCAATTTTCCGATCAACCGACCAGACAACTGGATATGCCAAATTTCAAAATTCAAAACCCCACTTGGAACAAGTTTTTAAAAGTAGGTGTGAAATTAATTTTTAAAAATTGCATCCAAACACCACACTCAAATATAAGGGTGAAGTCATGATTAGAACTCCACACCAAACATATTTCAAATTTTTTGTTTTTTAAAATTTATTACAATAAGATCTCATTAACGAATGAGTTTACCATACACTTTAACCCTTCAATTTTTTTAAAAAAACGTCACTTCTACTTTCTAAAATAGAGACATTCGTACTATTTTAATAATTGAAAAGGAAAAAAATATACAAATTTTGAAAAGATAAATTATAAATGGGATTTTTATTAAGAAATCTATTTTAGAGTTGTTGTAACCTATTAGGTCCACAAAAGATTATTATAACCAGATTAGTCATACGTACTTATCTTTTTATTCCATGAGGTCCATTTTACTAATTTTATATTTTTAAATAGATTATTATGCCCTTATATATAGTGTTAATACACATACCACATTTCTTTTTTTTTTGTTTATTCTGTTTTGGTAGTTTTTATCTTCATGCTTTTGATCATTCTTCTAATTCAGATGGATACGTTTCTATTTTGCTTGCTCGTTTCAAGGCTTTAATGTGCTAGGGTTTCATTGTTGCTGTTGTAGTATGGTTCTGTGATTTTGAAGTGAAGACAACGGATTGGACGGTGTTCGGTTGTGACATTTTCTGGAGTATAGCTAGTTAAAATCAGTTGTTTTCGAATTACAAGACGAGTGTAGGATTTTATGATTAAGGTTAGTATCATTTTGGTTATGAATACATGTTCAGTTTATGTTTTGATTTGTATGATGGATGGGATGCTCTGTTTTTTGATTGATATGGATCGGATGCTCTCTTTGTTCAATTATATGCATTTTACGTGGCCCTATGGAGGGGAGGTGATTCAGATTATGTGAGGAATGTTAATGTTCACATTTTATTTGTAATGATAGTGGTGATATTTTGAGTTTGGTTTTGGCAGTGTAAAATTTACATGTACGCATATACTTTGTATGTTTATTTTATTTTATATTTTGATTTATGTGGTGATACAAGTGTTTGTTTGGTGAGTTTTTGATGTTTGCTTAATGAGGCTCTGTGTGGGCGAGACAATTCAGAGTATATGTAACAATGTGAATATTCACATCTTGTTAATATGAAATTATGGAGGGTTGCTTGCATGTTGTGTACTGTGACCTCATTCTGGTGGTGTCATTTTGATATTGTAAAATGTTTTATGTTGTGTAAAGATAGTGGTGATAGTTTTCATTATGGATTTAGTAGTTGAACTGTACGCATAGACATTTAATTTTGTACAATGTGAATTTTCATATAGTTTGGATTATTATATGTGTTGTTGTTTGTATGGTTGTAATGTGGTTGTTGACTGTTGTAGTATTGTGTTTTTACAGGAGATGGATACCTTTATGATGTTGGTGTGCACATATGTTTGCAGTACAACTGTAACAAATGTTTCCCGTGCATTGTGTTATTTGCGTTTGGTGGAGTGTTTGTGTGAAAAAATGGGATGAGTTGTCTGCTTGTTCTATTTCATTATTCTGTCAGCTACTTGGAATTAATAGGTGTGATTTGAACAATGAGGAAGAATTTCAAAACATGTTATTGTTTGCTAAATCAATGGGGGTACAACATGTAGAGGTTGTCATTGAGTTGAAAAGTGATATTGGTCAATCGAGTAGCTCTGGGTCGCTACGTGTGGAAGGTGAGGAATAAATTGATGCACTCTGGAGATTTTGTCACCACAAAGAGAAGGTGTTGTTGTCAGCCCCTTGGGCAAATGGTATTACGCATGTGGGACAACGATTTGTTGGAGGTGCACAAGATTTTCATGATGTTTTATGTAAGTATGCAATCCAATGTGGGTTTCAGTTTACGTATGTCAAGAACGAGACAACAAAGGTTACTGCGGTGTGTGCGATGCGCGAGGAGAGAGGTTGCTTGTGGGCTATACATTGTAGAGCACAACGAGCAAATGGTTTTTTCTACATCAAAAGGTTCAATGATGTGCATAATTGTGGTACAGATGTCCAAACATCGATGGATCCGAGAGTTAGTTCTGATTTGGTGTCGAGTACTATATTTGAAATTATAAGGGACGAACCGTTGACTCGACCATGTGAGGTGGTGACTATTTTGAAGAGGGATTATGGGATAGATGTGAGTTACCACGTGGTATGGTTGGGCGTGGAGAAAGTAAAGGTTGTTATTTATGGAGATCACTCATTATTGTTTGACCAGTTGCAGTGGTATTCGAATGCTGTGATGCGTTACAATCCGGAGAGTTATGTCAATATTGACTATGACCCAAGTAGTCAACAGTTTTGTCTTTTTTTTTTGTATCATTCATTGCGTGTATTTCTGGGTACAATTCTTGTCGGTCTTTATTATTATTGGATGAAACATTCCTCAAAGGAAAGTACAAAGGTCAGCTACTTGCGGTAACAGCGAAAGATGGAAACAATAGTTAGTATTTTTTTAGCTGTGTATCTATATAAATATTCACATTGAGCGACATAGTGTGGATATATGACAAACCATTACACAGTGTAAACATTCACATGACCTGTTTCCTTTATAGTGCTTTTGTAAACTACTTATGTTACTATTCACATTGGAATATTGTGAATAGTTGTTTAATGGTGTTGTGTTGTAGGTCTATTTCCTGTTGCATTTGCGATTGTTGATTCAGAGACCACGGGCAATTGGTCGTGGTTCTTGCACGAACTTGGGAAGGTTGTTGATGGTAAGCGTCAAATTACTTTTATTTCGGACCGTAATCTTGGTCTATTAGAAGCGATGCCGAAGGTGTTCCCATTGGCTAACCACGGTTATTGCTTACAACACTTGAAAAACAATTTGAGAGACCGGATAAAGGGAATTGATAATGGACTTAGGGACCACCTTGTTAGTAGTTTGGGTGACTGTGCTTACGAGCCAACTATGGTAAGGTTCCATGAAAAGCTTGAGAAATTAAAAGAGGAGGGTAAGCAACGAGCACATAGTTTTCTCAAAGAGTTGGCACCTGAGCACTGGGCGAATTCATACTTCAAGTAATAGTAGTTTCCTAATGTATTTCATTTGTCAAGTTTAGAATGGTAGCGATGTGAAATTTCAGTTATGTTTTGTGACGATGTGAAATTTCATATTCAGTTTTGAAGAAATTTAATTCAATATTGTACAATGTTTGTGATGTTGTGCAGGGGCATCCCTTATGGAGAGATAACATCCAATGCGGTAGAGTCATTTAATAATTGGATTAAAGAAGCACATAATCTTCATATCACTCAACGGTGGACACAATTTGTACTCAGTTGATACGGCAAATGTCTGCATAGCGTGACCAAGCAAACAAGTGGAATGAACTTATTTGTCCTACATTCGAAACAATGCTTCTCGATTCGTTCAATGGCAGCAGGTCTTGGCAGGTGAGCAAAGCCAATGAGGATGTGTTTGAGATTCATTCTATACCATCTGTTACAGTTGATATTGCAAGGCGTAAGTGTTCTCGCTTCAAATGGCAAATCAACGGATTCTCATGTGACCATGCTGTTATTGCTATTTAGAAGAGCCGCTACAATCTCAATGATTGTGTGGAACATTACTTTCATGTAGAGACGTATCGTGCAATTATTCGGGTGCCATATTACCTATACCGTCGGTGGAAAAGTCGCATTTTGATCCCACAAACTTCACCATATACCCACTATCTATGAAAAGACCACCCGACAGGCCGAAAAAGAATAGAATCCCATCAAGGGGTGAGAAACTGAAGCAAATAAGGTACGGGAGATGTGATAAGTTTGGGAAGCCACAATCAGAAATCATACAAGGAGCAGATATAGGATGTACATTTTTTCATTTCAACATTGTATTTTACATGGGATTCTTATATTGATTTGTGAAATAAGATTGTGTTATGTTGGCAAATATTGTGTTACAATAAGATTACGTTGTGTTGGCAAACATAATACTGCATTGGCAAACCCAATAATGTATTAGCATTTGATTTGTGTTTTTTCTTTTTTTTTGGTAGCAAATTGACATTTTTG